AGTAGTGGTTCCAACAAGGGAACCGACAGAGATCTCTGTAATGGTAACAGTAAACAGTAGGTGCTAAGGATGCCACAATACAGTTCAGAATATAGGACATACATTCATTCAATTAACAGTATCAGTTCAGAAAACAGTACGGTTCAATTGTTCAGAAGATAATCATTTTGAACATATCTTTACACAGTTGTTACTCACAGAGTTCTGGGTTACAGTAAAGCTAGAGCACATCCCTCGTCACCAACCCTACACAGTTACAGATTGAACACACACTAAGCTACATAGTTGGGAAAGATAACAGCTTAATCCCTAATTTGCCTCGGTGAGGTTCTACATCTATATCCTCAATAAGATGGCTTAAACTAGGCCTAAGAATGCCTAGAATGAGATGAGGATGCAAAGATGCACTTTAAAAGCATTTTCAGAAAACAGGGGTCACGCTTGAGCGTAGGTTACTCCGCTCGAGCAGACATGCAGACGAAGGTTTCCGCTCGAGCTTATCATTACCCGCTCAAGCGTTCTGTAAAACAGTCAAAAGTGCTGGATAGGCGAAAATCACGCTCGATTGGGCGCTTGACACCCGCTCGAGCATGAGACACAATGTCCCACTCGAGCGTCAATTATTCCGCTCGAGCAGAATTCAAAACAGAACAAAATGCTAGGAGCACGATTTCCACGCTTGAGCGCCAGTTACCCCGCTCGAGCGTGAGTCCAAATTCTGGAAATTCCAGATTTGAACCTCAAGCTCAAAGCCAAGTTTTAAACCATAAATTTCGATCCTCTTGGGCCAATTTTCCAGAAAACACATCAAAACTCATACTTTAACATGATTCAAAGCTCAATTTGTAAAATCAAAGCCCAAGGGTGTTTCAAATAAATCCAATTCAAACTAATTTTCATGAATATGAAGAACGTGCAAACATGCATGAATCTAAACACTTCAAAGCTTCAAATGCTAGCTCAATTGAGCCAATTCTTTCTAAAAACATGATGAAATCATGGACTACTCTTAAAACATGGACGTGCATGTGAGGAATGTGAACTACAACCTCAAAACTTCAATATATATACATGCATGCAACAATTAAGTTTTAACACAACAATTTGAGCCATAAGTTGGCTCTAGTCTCCAACCTAGGTCTAAACCATGCAAGAAACAATTTAAACACAAGAATGAGAAGATGAATTTCTACCTTAAGTCTCCAATTCAAGGAAGGGAAGCTCAAATATGCAATTTCTTCTTCAATTTCCAAGCAATTCACCAGCAAAAGTGAGATGAAATCAACTCTTCTAGTCTCTCTCTCTATGGTCGGCAATAACAAAGAGAATGGCTGATGAATTGTGTGCCTAAGTATATAATAAGGCTCAAATATGTGTAAGAAAGTGGCCACTAAGGGGGGTAGTTAGATAAATAAGCTTAACTCTCTTGATTACTCAATTTAATCTAATTAAATCATACCAAATCACATTTTAACTAAATATGCCATAAAATCGCATTAATTCTAAGGATCACAAAGCATCAATCAATTTCAGATTCGGCCGCCGATAAGGCCTTCAATTAACAGTTTAAACATAAAACTGAACAGATAATTAAACAGTCAACAGATAGACATACAATTAAACAGATATACTTAGTCAATTCAATTCCATATTTCAGTCAGTCAGTTCAGTATTTCAATCAGTTCAATTACCAATCATAATCAGTCTCAGTGTAGCAGTAATCAGTAATTAATCGATAAACAGTGGTGAGGGTTATTACAGTGTCTTTCACATGATTAATGCATCAAAGAGTCCTAGGGAGTCTAAGTTAGTCACGTCATTTAATTTGGAAAGTTTTAGAGTCAAGATGAAGTGAGTATAAATTATATTGAAAGTCTGGTGGCAAAAAAAAAAGGTAATGAATGAAAATTAAGCTTAGGCTTCTATGATTGTGCGATGCAATCTTTCTTTAGTGTGATGCTAAAGAGTCCATTGGTGTGATGCCTTGGGTTTTCTAGGTGTGATATCTAGATCTATCTTTCTTTAACCTTTCCTTTACTTCCTACAAATCACTGTTCACGTCTACTGTTCATATATGCTGTTCACAGTCCAAAAAACAGCCCTGTTATTTGTGTGTTTGCTCATACTTAGGCCTATTTCGAATCTGTCCTGCATCAACTTGTATGTAGTTGTCTATGTAGTAAGTAAGATTTCGTTGTGTTGTAAATATATCTTTAACTTTGAACTTCTAACTTGACATCTTCGAACTTTTAACTTGAGAATCTGTGTTTGGAAAGGTATTCCAAACATATTTACACCCACTAATTTGAGTGTGGTATTTATTTTGAGTTTTTAAATTATTATTCTACATCTGTTTTTGAAAACTCCTTTTCAGGTGGGAAAATTTAGTTAATCCGGTCGTCCTCCCGGACGTTCAGCTGGTTGACCGGAACAGTGTTCGTTTTTTTTTTGTGCACTTGTTATTTTTATATTTTATATAAAAAATATTTTCGGAATTTTTTTAAATTTTTTTTTATGAGTTTTGAATAAATTTTGAATTGTGTGTTTTGTTATGAGTTATAAGTTTTTGAATCAAATATCATATGTCACATCATTCATTTCAAACTCAATTTAAAATTCTTTTCAAAACTTATAACCAAACAAATTTTCTATACTCAAATCATAATTTCAAAACTCACAAACTCAAAATACAACTCTATTCTCAAATCATAATTCTAAAATTCTACCAAATGCTACCTTAAATTTCTAACTTTCTCACTGTCTCAAAAATAAATTATATAAATCACTAGGTCAACTATTATGTCCAAGCACGTGTATATATAATTATGAATTTTAAATTATTTATATACAGATAAGAAAGTTAAATATCATGGAACTAATCTCTCACATAACGATGAGAGATCTTTTTTAATAAGTAGAAAATGGGAAATGAATATATATTTCAAAATGAGGGCCATATTATACATAAAATGATATATATATATATATATATATATGTCAAATTTTATTGACCTTTGCTGAGATTTGAAGAAAATGTCAAATTTTACATTTTTAACATAGTTACATTGGGAATTTTTTTTAATTTTAATATATATAACACTTAATCCAATTTTTATATTAAACTAAACTAATAAATCTTAGGAGAAATTGCATATTAAAATATATAATAAAAAAAACTGACTTTGGTCTATGTAACAAATCTAATTGATTTTTCAATTTTTTTAAATTTAAATCATAATTTTTAAAAATAAATTCATTTAAAACCATCCTTCTATATTCGCTTAACGTGATTAATAGAGATTTTTTTAAAACTAATTACAACACGTGGCATTATATCATTTGTTATTCCAAACTTTAAACTAATTACAACTTCACCTTAGTAGAACCAACTGGGTTTAGTCTAATTGACTACTATAATTTTCTTAAAGGCTTAGTTATAAAGGATGGGAAAAGTAATTTTTGTAGATGTTAATCTAATAACTGATCTTAGTGGTCACACTAATGGTCTCATTTTGTAGAATTTCTGCTGTATATTTGCCGGTTGATAAGTTTTGTTACCCACAACATTTGGAATCAAAATTTGCAATTTAGCAGCAAAGATCTTTTCATGGGCTCTTGATCCCATTGGCTTTTTTTCCTTTTTATAGTTCAGATGTTCGGATCAGTTTGAGTACACCTCAACTAATTTTTGGAGGATTAATCCCACCATCTACTAGCGGAGCTCAATTAAAGTCAGAGCAAAACTTTGTTTGAACTGATCCAAAACAAATATTGATATCACTTTAAAGGTTTCGAATTTGAGATTTAGAGAGGAACAAACTTTTAAATCTTAAGCCTACGTATACTACAAAAAATTAAAGTTTTAGAGACTAAAATTTAGGGACAAAATTATTTTTTAGGGACCAAATATTTTTGTTATTATATTTTTAGCAACGCAAATTGGACATTAGTGATGAATTATTATCCTTTTCGAACCAAATTTTTTGTCTAAAAAAATAAACTATTTTGAGATCAAATTATTTGTTCCTAAAAGTCTATTTATTAGTGGCATTTTCAAAAATTTGTTGTTAAAGTCCTTGTTTTTTATTTTTCGAGACGATCTTTTAACAACTATCCTTATGACGATAGAAATTTGCCCGATAAATTCCTTTTGTAATAAAATTTTCACTTTTAGAGATTAAAAACTCATATATTGTAATGCTATACCATTAGACCAACCCCTAGGGGTTTCTATTGATTTGGTCATATATTAAATGGGAAACAAAGATCTTGGTGAAATATGTTAAATTTTGATTTTTTTTTTTTTTGGGGGTGTTTTTTGTATTTTATGGGGGGACTAACTTGTGTTAATTATAGGGTTAATGATATTTTTAGTCTCCAAATTATGTTGTGTGTCATTTTGATTTTTAATAGTTAAACTACAATATGTGTTCTAATTTGATCTCCCAACTTAACTCCAGGGATAAATGTTATTAAAATCAAAGATAAATGTGAAAATTTAATTTGAAAATTACATGTTTAACCTCCGAAATATATGATTTATGCTATTTATGTGAAAACTCACTTGAAAAAAATTATATTTTTAATCTCCAAATTATATGATTATGTCATTTTGGTCTCCAAAATTATGCATTTACCTTTGACTTCAATGCCTTTTATTAATAGAGATAGACAGGAGACTAAATTAAAACCTAAAAACAAATCATTCAATAAAAATTAGTTGTTAGTGGTTAGATTTTATCACTATGTGGAGTACAACCTCTAATACCAAAATGACAAAATTCATACTTTGATAACTAAAAATGTAATGAATCTTAATTTCAACATCCCTAGTATGCTTCTTATGTCATGGAAAACTTCTTTAAATTCCTACTTTTTTGGTAACCAAGTACCCACAAACAAACCTCAATTTGTGGATCTACCACCTTAAATTCTCATTCCTTGCATACATGCATGTGTGTTTCTACATATATATATATATATATCTGCTTGAACTTGAGCAAGCAAGTGGGCTGTCACATGCAACTTCTCTTCCATTTTGAACTGATAGAGAGAGAGAGAGAAGGTTGCTGATAAGGCAACCTTAACCATGGAGTCTAGGTTGTCAATTTGGGCACTTGGGTTGTTGTTTTTCACATTGGTGGTTGCTGACGGTAATAATAGTAATAGTACTAGTAATGGTTCAAGAAACTGCAAGTTTCCTGCAATATTCAATTTCGGAGACTCTCATTCCGACACTGGATCATCCTCAGCTACTTTCAATTTTCTCCAGGCACCCAACGGGATGAGTTTTCGCAACTATTCTAAAAGGAGCAGCGATGGTCGTCTCATCATAGATTACATAGGTAAACTATAAGACAGTTAGGTTAGAGATTCACTTCTGAAATAATTGGGCCAATATGTCCAAAATAAATCTTTTTGGGTCAAAAATACGTTGTTAGCCCAAAAAAACACATCTATGCCAAAATCTTACCTATTTGTCTATTTGTTCAAATATATTTGTACATATATCACAGATTTGTCCAACTATTTGTCTTAATGTCATTTATCTATCCAATATCACCTATCGCCACCGGCCGCCATTGCCACGGGCAATTTTCTGGCTACTTTTCTGATCAATTTTCTGACGTTGGTGACTTTTTCAATGATTTTTCTGGCATTAGTGACTTTTCCGGCGAATCACCAAAAAAGATTAAATCTTGGACCAAATAACATATGAACCCATAAGTATGGGCTTTTCACCAATTAACCCTAAACTATAACAGTCTGTTTGGATAATAGCGGATTTTAATTAAGATATTTGACCAAGTACTCATTTGAAATCATGCTCATGTCGTGTCTCCATCCTAGTGTCATTGATCATGCTCCTCACGAACTAGCTACTGATTATCGCCTTTTTTGTCTGTGTTGTGTTGTTGCAGCTGAGAATTTGGGATTGCCATACTTGGATGCACCAGTGGACTCAATAGGGACAAATTTTAAGCATGGTGCTAATTTTGCAACAGGAGGAGCGAGGATCAGTTCGGATGTGATTATGGGAAAAACCACTCCATACCACCTAGGCGTTCAAGTCTCTCAATTCTTACAATTTAAGTCGCGTGCCATTGCCCTACACAAGGAACTCCTCAATAACAGTGAGTTTTTGTTTCATTCTTTCCACCTCTTTTTTTTCCTTACCCAACCCATGTTTGCTTATTTGAGATTATTAGTCTTGTACTAATATAATTTTCGAATTATCAATCTCTTAGAATTATATATACTATCTCACATTTGGAATGTCCTCGGATTAAAGGGATAAATAGAATTTTAATTACCATATGTTGTTGTATATGGATTACATGGTGTAATAATCAGTTTGAGAGTATTTTGGTGTTTTAACCGCCTAATTTGGATACCCTCATTTCCCCCATTTCGTATCCCACCGTTCTTATGGAGGATATGTGGTTTGGAAGAACTGTCAATCAAAATGTTCACTTTTATATCTAACCATAAGATTCAAGATTAACCAAGATATATTCGTCTAATCAAATGATCTAATCCCCCCTAAACAAACACAACCTTTGTACAATTTCAGTTAAAAGAACATGTATGGTCCCTAAGGTGTGTTCAGTATCATTTTAATTCCTAACATAGTCTTGTAATAATTAGGAATGAAATAGACAAAATTAAAAAGTTTAGAACCACTGTGACACATACAACATGCTTTAATAAATAAAAATGAATTATTATCATTATTATTTGCTAACTATTTAGACGATGATATGAAATTGAATCAATTTAACTCAAATTAACAACTTTAAAATTTGGAGGATCTCATTTGATTCATGTAAAGTGTTTCAAGTATAGAATTGTAGATATTGAATAGAATAATTACACGCAATATATGAAATTGGGATTGATCTCTGCATTAAAGTTTCCTTATGATTTTTCTATGCTTAAAATACTCATTTCAATTGTTTTAAACTTAATAATTTTTATGATTGATCTAATTGCTACACGCAATATACACCCGTACCTCTTAAGTATAAGTATATATAATGCTAACAATGTTGGCTGTTTGCGGCATTCAGAGAATAACCCGCCAATTGAAAACAAATTCCCAGAGCCCGAAGTCTTTTCAAAGGCATTATACACCATTGACATTGGGGGTAATGATGATTTTAACAATCATACCATCTCTACTACAATGGACCAGTTCACCAATACCCTACAGGTAAGCCAACTTCCAATCTGTTGCCTGTAATTGGATTGGAGGGATATAATAAGAGTTCATCACGACTCATTTCTAACTTCTAAGTTGAATTTATGTAACCATTTGATGTTTAATTTGAGAATTCTATGGTACACATTTCCAAGGAGTGTGAATAAGAGTCTTTCTCTCATTTGAGGATGGGAAATGTTGAAGAAAAAAAAGTAAATTTCCTTTTTGTTTGTAAAAAAATAGATATGACCAGTTCAATCCAGTAGGCTCATCTTAAGGCCTATTTTAATGTTTCAATCAATTCAATGCAAATTATTTGTTAAAAAGTAGATTGATATGATAAATATAGTCTCATAATTTGATTATGTTTATTTTCAAAAAAATGGCTTTTCATTCATTTATTTCAAAACAAATATGATGAAATCATATGATTATAATTATCAGATCAAATTGAATTTTTACCAAAATGTATCTAAGAAAAATGTCAAGAATTTGACTGCACGGTGAAGATTTAAACTTGCCTTGACATACATATCACATTCAAAATAAACTTGACCCACACATTTCACCTTCTGAACTCCTTTTTTTTTTTTTTTTTTTTTCTGAGTATATATATATAGCATTGTTGTATGAGGATTGAAACTAGAATAGTGCTTACACCAACAAACAAAAAATCAATACAAAATTTTGATCAAAATTGATGTGGCAACTTTGATTCTTTATCATTTTATTTAAAGGTCCATCAATGTCATTTATATTTTTAAGATGGAGAATGCTATTCCACGAAAAATTTTGCACCAAAATGATGTGTGAATGTTATTTATATAATTAAAAGCATCTCAATGAACTCTTTGTTCTAAAATGATAGGCATTTAAACCCAGCCAACTCATTAGGTCCCGTTTGTTTTCAGAGATAGAATGGAGGGGATTGATAGTGAGGGGATTAATAGTGAGGGAATTGTTAGTGAGGGGATTGATAGTGAGGGGATTAATGGTGAGAAATTGTTAAATTATTTTTATATAAAATAATAAAACAAATAAAAAAATATAAAAATTAAGCATTAATATTTTAAAAAAAATTCCCAAAATATAAAAAATAAAAAAATAAAAAATTTTCTAATCCTCTCACTATTTTTCTAATATCATCTCTACCTCCTCACTATGAATCCCCCTTCTAAGGGTATTAGTAATATCAATGTATTAGTAGTACCAAGACCATCTCTTAAAACAAATAAGGTATTAGTAATACCAAGGTATTAGTAGTCCCAATCCCTTTCCTATAACCCCAAATAAACGGGGGCTAAGTTCCCTGTATAGATTTTTCGTTTGTATATTATCTCAATTTTAAGATTATCATTACCAAATTATTTTAGTATGAAATTTTGTATAAATTTTATATTTTTGTTGATCACTTTCCCTGAAACTAACACACTTTCCCTGAAACTAACACGTGTTTCATGGTCAATGTTAATTTCAGAGGCTCCTTGGGGATGGAGCAAAGTACTTTTGGATACACAATACAGGGCCAAATGGGTGCGGACCCTTTGGCCACATCAACTGCAAGAAGGAGCCAGGATGTGTGTTAGATCAAAATGGGTGCGATAAAAAATGGGATGAGAATTCTCAGGCTTACAATAAACTACTCAAGGATAGGGTTTCCAGGCTAAGGGCTCAGTACCCAGATGCAGTAATTACATATGTCGACATATATTCAGCTAAACACAAGCTGATAGTCAATGCAAAAAAATATGGTAAACTCACGACTTCAATTTTAGCTTCCAAAGTCAAATCCCAATTGTTAGGATCGTTACATCTTCTACTCCCATCATCTCTCTTAAAATATGAACGGTTTTGACTTTGGTTATAACGTCTTACAACTAGAGATGTAATTAGGTAAAGACTATGGGGGGCATGACCCCCTATTTCTGTAAAAAATTATGTTTGCCATAACATTTTTAAATATATATATATATCTTATTTCATAAATAAAATGATCTCTTAGTATAAAACAAATATATATATCATATTTCTCCCATATTGCATTTTCTTTTTATTTTCTACTAAATTTTTTTTTCATCCTATTAGAGATTGTTACTATGACACTTGATTTTTTTTTTTTTTGTGTATATATATAATTTATATATCGTATTGTACATATGTGTATTTGTCTATATGATGAAAAAATATTATTTGTCTTTTTGACCCCTACGGTCATAAAATCTTAGATTCGTCCCTGTTTACAATTGACCGGTCAGTGTCTCTTAAACTCTTGGAACCCTTTGTAAGTCGGCCACAAGAATGTTGAATTGTTTGGTCTCATACCCTAACAATCTCCTAAGAAACCGTACTTGGGCTCTTATACCAATTTTTGGCATCTTTTGCACCATCCATTAACCCACTTTCACCATAGTGTTGGGTAGGGATTTGGGTATTGTTTAAAGACTTCATATATGGTTAATCGATCAGTGTTCTTGAGCCTTTGAAACCTTTCTACACAAGGATTTAGATTGTCTGGTCTCAGATTTTAACACTCAATCTAATACATGTCTCTCTTAAAATAAGAAGGGTTTTTAGTTTTGGTTTTGAGGTCTTCCAATGAATTGGTCATGTCTGTTGAACTCATGGAACCCCTGTGCAAGTTACCGCATGAGGTTGAATTGTTTGGTCTCATATACCCTAAAAATCTTCCAAGAAACCTTTCTTGTGCATCTTAAATTTTTGATCTTTTAGTGTAAGAATTTTAGCCAACTAAATTAGTAATAGTGAGATCTTTGTTTAGTTATTACATGCATGAAAGTAGATATATCCAATGGTTTTGGGGGATGTGATTGGCAGGTTTTGGTGATCCATTCAAGTTCTGTTGTGGGAATGGGTACTTATGTGGCCAGGTTGATTTTAATGAAACACTCCTTGGCACTGCATGTAAGGATCCTCAAAATTACATCAACTGGGATGGCATTCACTACACGCAGGCTGCAAACCGATTTGTTGCGAATTTCGTCGTCAATGGCTCCTTGTCTGATCCACCAGTACCAGTTGCAGAGGCTTGTCATAAGCAATATTGAAAAAACTATGCTTACATATATTCATCACCTGCTACCATTTATTCGTATGATTAATACTCATATAGGAGGTATTGGTGGTCTTTGATTCAAGGCTCATGTACATGTTGTCTATGGTGTACCCGTAATATACTCCGAAATTTGCTGTCATATGTGACTTTTATATGTTATATATGAACAGATTTCTTATTGGTTTTTTATCACTAGATATGAATATCATGTGAGAAATTCATTTATTTATAACATTTTTTTTTTAAATTTTAATTGCTAGTTTTTATTCATTTAGATTTTAACTCGTGGATTGTTCTTCCCTTTTATCACTGAAACTTAAAAGATGGATACTTACTAAAAAGATTTTCAATTAATAAGGTAAATGGGATGTTGTTTATTATTATTATTATTTTTTTTGGGGGGATGTCATTAAGAAACTAAAATTTAACTTTAATTAGCATGTAATTCTATTTTATTTCACACAATCATTACCACCACTAACTTACCACCTCAATTTTTAATTTAGATCAGACACTCGGTTATCAAAAAACAAATATATATATATATATATATATATAAAACTAAAAAAAAAAACTACTAGAAAGTAAAATCCAATCAATAGAGATGCATGGAAGCATATGTTGAATGTACGAAAAACAGAAGGAAAACAAGAAGAATATAGAAAGAGACTAATTTTTCTGAAATTCTATTACTCAAAATCAATTAATTAGCTTCAAAGGCCTCCTACGCCTCAATTTATAGGGAACATTGTTTGGTCACCAAACCACAATACACGCCCCAAGCATGCCAAGACCACACAAAATTAGAAAACTGGTTAGGCCAAAGTCTGAGTCCTAGAATATAAAAAAAAAAAAAAGTTAAAAAAATAAATAAATAAACATGAAAGGAAATTTGTCCAAAATTCAACATAAGTCACCATGAGGGACACCATGATATACACTTTTTATGATATACTTTTATGGTATAATTTATATATTTTTTGTTGTAAATGTTTCATAATTTTTTAATAAAGTTATGACAATTTATGATTCAAAAATGAAGTTACGCATTTTGTGATAATGTTACTCATTTTTGTGATAATGTTACTCATTTTTGTGATAATATTACACTTTTTTTTTATCTAAATATTTTCTAACTACAAAATGTGTAACATTAACCAAAAAATGTGTAATATTATTATCACATGTGTGTAACTTCATTTTTGAACCATAAATTGTCATAATTTATAAATAAATAAATAAAAAACATAATATTTGTGGGGATATATTTTCTGAATACCAACACGTGGCATGGTGACGCCGATGTGTCAGCCGAGGTGCCACGTGTCATGGTAGTTAAGCCGAGAAGATCTCGGAGTTGCCGAGGTTATTCCCGAATATATCGGAATCCGAGATAAGCAGATAAGGGACAAGAGTCCTAAGGCAAAGAGGGGACTTAACCAAGATAAGGATAAAGCTCTTAGGGAGTTTATCTTTATCTCTTAAAGAGTCCAAAGTAAGCACTAAAATTGGAGTTCATAGAAGTCATACTTTTAGTGGGACTTGGATTGAGTATATTATAAAAGAGAGGCACCCCCGTGGGTCTAAGGTATGCAATTTATGTTTTGAGTATTAAGTTTTGCACTTGATTATCTTTGAGAGATATACTGACTTGATCGTCGGAGTGCCCCCGGGTGGAAGAACCACCGCCGGAGCCTTTTCTTTCTGTTTCAGGTTGCTGAAGCCATCTATTCTGCCTGTGCTCTCCAGTTGATCACTAAACAGGCAGTGTGGCCAGATTTTTACCCACACAATTTGGCGCCGTCTGTGGGAACGAAGGAAGAATAGATGGCCAGTAACGGACAGCAGAAAAATATTGGGGATGACGCTCCCGCTGGGAGTGGCAGACCAATTGACCTTGACATTGAAGGAGACAACCACAGTACAGAAGCCCGCGACCAGGGTCACAGAGAGAACGACGTCATCCCAGGTTTGGGACCTCCATATGCTACTTCATGTTATATCCCTCTTTGGGTCCCATTTTTGCATGTCTTGGCAGCCTATTGTGCTTTGGTTTTTGGTCATTTTACATCACTGAAAATAGTCTTATTTTGGTCCATTCTTCATGTTTTATTAAGGTCCTTTCATGGTTTGGGACCTCCATATGCTACTTCATGTTATATCCCTCCTGGGTCCCCTTTTCTTGCATGTCTTGGCAGCCCATTATTCTTCCATTTTTGGGCGTTTTACAGAACTAAAAATAGTCTTATTTTGGCCCATTCTTCATGTTTTATCAAGGGTCTTTGACTGTTTGATGAATATTTTGTAGACTTTGTGTTATAGCCACTTTTGAGCCTCATTTTGCATTGCATTTCTAGCATGTTTGTTTTTGGGGTTTTTATAGTTCTGTAAAGTGGTTTATTTTGGGCCCCTCTTCAATGTTGTTGAAGGGCCCTAACCTGTTTGAGGTCAGCTGCTGTGAGTTGCTTCATAACCTCACATTTAGGGCCATTTTTGCATGCTAGTTTTGCCCTGTTTCTGTTAGCTGTTTGGCCATGCTTTGAACTGTAAAAATGCTTATTTTGGGGCTGCCTTGCTACTGTCTATTCATTGCATATCTATATTGTGCATGTTTGGTATAGCTATAGGCCATTTCGGGTCCCAAAATTCATGTTTCGGGACTATTCCATGCATCGGGTGTGTTTTCGCCTCATTTCGGGGCTGTTTTCCCCCACTTTTCAGTGCTGAAATCCCATTAGCATGTTTTCATATCATTTTCCATGCTATTGCATTGCGTATGCCATTGCCTCGGTTTGCGTGCCCGCGTGCACGCATTTCGAGGCACTTCATTTTCATCCATCGGCCTCTTATGTGAGTGTGGCTGAGGCTCTCTCATGTTAGTATAAGTCCATGTTGCATTCTATATGCCATTTTAGCCATATTGCATTGTGTATGCCATTGCTTCGGTTTGCGTGCCCATGTGCACGCATTTTGAGGCACTTCATTTTTATCCATCGGCTTCTTATGTCAGTGTGGCTGAGGCTCTCTCATGTTAGTATAAGTCCATGTTGCATTTTCCATGCCATTTTAGCCATATTGCATTGTGTATGCCATTGCCTCGGTTTGCGCGCCCGTGTGCACGCATTTCGAGGCACTTCATTTTCATCCACTGGCCTTTTATGTGAGTGTGGTTGAGGCTCTTTCATGTTAGTATAAGTCCATGTTGCATTCTATATGCCATTTTAGCCCTATTGCATTGCGTATGCCATTGCCTCGGTTTGCGTGCTCGTGTGCACGCATCTCGAGGCATCTCATTTTCACATCATAGTGTATACTAGGTTGTATCTTAGATCACATTCATGCATTTCCTCAGTTTGCGTGCCCGTGTGCACGCATTTCGAGACATGTCATTCCATAGCATTGTGTATGTTAGGATTGTATCTTAGTTGCATTTCATGCATGTCATGCATATTGCATCGTGTTCGGAATAGGAGTTAGCCCGGGCACGGGAAACGAGGTGCATTTCGTACTCCGAGTGACGGAATGTGTCTCAATTCCCCAGTCACCGACACTCCGGATCATCCATGATGGAGTTAGGTCTTGTTGTGTTTTCATGTGCATTCATCCTACATTAAATTGTGCAATTCGACTCCTCGGCCATCATGCCTCGATATGCGTGATTGGTGGCACGAGGATCGAAG